GTAAAAAAGCGAAACACCAGACTTCACGACACTACAGAATCACCTAGAGGAAACCGATGACTCACCTGTGAAGACCTTAGAATCAGCTTGCGCCGGGCCTTGGAAAGCAGAGCGCGTGACCACGTTCTGGAGGCCAGCGGAGGTGCGGTGTCAGACCCGCGGTGACTCGTCGGGGTCCCGGGCCCCCTTCTGTAATGAACTTCACCATTGTGGTGAACACACACACAGGAAAGTGCAGGAAGGGAGCAGACCACAGAAGCGTATGTGTGGATGGACGCGCCCACACCCGCCTCCCGTGCACGGACCCCGGGGGCCTCTCTGCTGGGGCCTCCATTTACTGTCGCCAGTTACTGAAAACTATCAGCTGAGCATTCTTCTTTCAGGCATCACTGGGGGTGTGAAAAGGGGAGTGAACAGAGCACAGGGGAGCGACAGGGGACTGGGGGCTGATGCCACAGAGTGGGGCACATCTGCACCTGCCCACACACGAGCAGGCCGCTCGGAGTGTCTGGGAGAGGTGCTCCCGGGAGAGGTGCTCCCGGGGACGGAACGTGCCAGGAGATTTGGCAGTGAGCTTCCGTGGGGAGAACGTGAGGGCGCGGAGGGCAGGGAAGGGAGGAGCAGCCCGGGGGCCCGGCCCAGCAGCGGGTCTGAGGGTGGGGTCCTGTAAGGCACCAGCTGTGCACACCCCCCCTCCCCCCCGCGCCATTTGAAATGCCGGCTTGGCCCAGAGACAGGTCAGCAGAAAGGGGTGGCACTGAGTGAGGGGAAGAAGGAAAGCTCACGCGCGCGTGGCCCTGGGAGCCGTGTCCCATGAGCGGGAGGGGTCTGGCCCCACAGCCCTCGCTGCTTCCGTGGTAACGGTGCTCACAGGGCTGAGGGCAGATGAGAGTGGCCGTCGGCCTTCCATGCACCCAGGTGGGTCCAGGTGGCCCGGTGACAGGCCCCGCTGGGCTCTGCCCCTCGCGCTGGCCGACTGGGGACGGCCCAGTCAGGATGGCACAGGGGTCCTGAGCGGCTGCTCACGGATGCGGGCGCCTTTCCCTGCAGGGCTCAGGAAACAAAGATTGTGACTGCGCCATTTTACGCGGGGCTGGTGTGTTACTCTGATTAGCGATGCTAACTAATTCAGGTTAATTGGTTTTCAACTTTGTAGACTGGAGACAAAGCACAGGAGACTCAATTATGAGTAAAAATAGAATGGAATGTTATCAACCTTAACAAGGTGAAGTGTCAGTGTCAGCGCCAGAGGACGGGGTGAGGGGCGGACGGGGGCGCGGAAGTGCCACGCCGACACCTCCGTGAGCACGGGGGCGCGGGGAGCGCCGCAGTGGGGTCAGACGCAACGGAGAATGGAGCCTGAACGCCGCCACACCGCCCTGGGAGGGCCCTGGCGCGGGGCCGGTGCTGCCCGCCACAGCAGGGAGGCCCACCGAGTCCCCAGGAAACAGTGGCTTCCCCTTACCCAAGTGTGGAGGTGGCCACGGAGCAGCCGGAGCCACAGCCAGGGTGCCTGCCACCAAGGAGCGGGTTAGGGACGCGGAGGGTGGGCCAGGGGTCTCTCTGCCCCCTCTCTCGTCCCCTCCCTCCTCCTCCTCCCCTCCCTCCCCCTCCTCCCCTCTCTCCCCCTCCTCCCCTCTCTCCCCCTCCTCCCTCCCCCTCCTCCCCTCCCTCCTCACTCACACATCTTCCTCCTTTCCCCTTCCTTCCTCCCCTGCCCCTCTTCCCCCTTATATCCCTCCTCCCTACCCTCGCCCCCTCCTCCCCCTCCCCCCTCCCTTGCCTCCCCTCCTCCCCCTCCCCCTCCTCTTCTCCCCCTCCTCCTCTCCCACCCCTCCTCTATTTCTCTCATCAGCTTTCCTGTACCATTTTATATGTTAAACGTGTACACTTATTACTTGCATTGAAATAAAATATTTAAAGGTTTGCTAAGTAAGTAAACATTAGAAATTAGGAGTTTTTTGAGTACTTGAGGGGCAGTCTGTCACTAACAACTGCTAGCAGCTCACACCCAGTCCTTGGCTGCCTGTTAAAGCGGCCGCCGTGTGGGGGGCCTGCAGACGCTCCTAACTTGAGTCATGACGGCTACTGTCCGCCCTCGGACACGCTAACAGGCGTGGCCCCTTGAGAGGAGCCGCCCGTTCAGGCTCTTCACCTTCACGCTGCTCCCTTCCAGACCCCAGCAAGTAACCTGATTCGGTGCAGGTTAAGTGGCTGTTGTGCTGCCCCGAGAACGCGAACGGATGCAAGTGTTGGAAGTGGTGAGCGGGGACAGGAGGCGCGCCGGGCCGTAATGCTTGCAGCTCGCGTGAGCGAGTTACAAGGAAACACCGCCCTGGGGCCCTTGGAGAGAAGAAACGCAGATTCCCGTGTCACCAGGGGGCAGGCGGCTGGCCGTGGGGAAGCCGCCCGAGGGTTGGGGCCAGCTGGCAGCGGGAAGTATGGCTCCGGGCTCTGGGGACGGAGCCAGGGAGTCTTCAGGAAGAGGGGGCGTCGCAGGCTGGCACTGAAGGACAGGATGGGATCACCGGGGGCTAGCGGGATCACGTGGGGGCGGGGGGGCACGGAGACCCGCACCTGCAGGCCTGTCTGGAGGGGGGTGGCTGGGAGGGCAGGCCCTGCAGCCTCGGGCGGGGGTGAGAGCAGGCGTGAGGAAGAGGAGGGCGCGTGTCTGGGAAAGCCCGCTTCTCTGGGCTGAGCTGTAACGGAGCACGTGTGACTGTACGTAAGAAGGCCGAACTAGGAACGGGCGTGGGGACGTGCCCAGCGTCATGCCGTGCGGGCGGCTGGGCATGGGGACTCGTGCTGTAAAGCCCTGTCCTCCCTGCCGACCAGTCCCTGAGCCCAAGCACTGCGTGGGGCGCCGGTGGAGTTGTGTGGCCATCATTTTAGTGGCACAGAAGGTATCTTTAGTCTTAAATTTTTTTAACGTTTATTCATTTTTGAGAAACCGAGACAGAGTGCGAGCGAGGGAGGGGCAGACAGAGGGAGGCACAGAGTCCGAAGCAGCTCCAGGCTCTGAGCTGTCAGTGCAGAGCCTGACGTGGGGCTCGACCCCCCAAACCACGAGATCATGACCTGAGCTGAAGTCGGACACTCAACCGACTGAGCCACCCAGGGGCCCTGAGGTACTTAGTCTTTAAAAACTGAAGAGGTAGAAACTAACTGTAGAAAAGCCCTGTCTGGTCTGGCCGAGGCATCAGGACATTGGCGCCATCCCGGGGCCACGGCGCTGGGCAGTGCTGGTCTCAAAGGGGCTGCGTTGACGCTGTGGTGCCTGGGGCCCCTGCACCCCTAGGGTGGGACTCGGAATGGACCGTGCGTCTGAGCCGCCGGCCTCCCTGGCGCCATCTGCGAGTGACACGTGTCTAGGGTCTCGTGGGCCAGACTCCCACAGAACCCACGCCGGTTTCCCTGGCTGCCGTCTTCCTTCACGGAGGAGGGCCCCCCTCGGCTGGGACCCCACGGCTGAGGATGGTGGGCACGGGGCCACCCTGGCGACAGGTGTGAGCTTGCCGGACTCCTCGGCATCACTGCTTTTCCTGGATCGTGCTGTTTATCCCTCACAGTGACCATAGGAGCTGGGAGCTGCTGCTGCTGATCACAGATGGCTCTGGGGCTGCCGGGGCCCCGCGGGGGGTGAGCAGGATCGGGACATGGCGGGGGTGCCCTCCAGAGCTGGAGTCGCTGCGGTCCTGCTCAGTCGTCAGTCCGAGGGTTCTTGGCTCTGCCAGTGAGAACAGCACCAACATTAGGCACAGGGAGGAAGGAGGCAGGAATAGGGAGCACGGTGGGAGGGAGCACATCGCCTGGGATTATTTCTTCAAGAACATGGAAGAGACGGACGCACCCTTCTTCATCCGGCTTGAAATGCCAGCCATCTGTGTGTCCTTCCGTCCGTCTGGGTTACAGACGCCAGGGGCACACGGCCGCGGGGTCCGGGAAGGCGTGTGTCCTGGGGAGGCAGCAGGGCCCCGGCGGCTCGCTCATCCGGGGTGTGGGCGGGGCCTGGCTCGCCCTGGGGGCCGGTGGTCCGCTGAGCCCGGGCGCGGGGCGGCCTTCGTTCGGTCGTGGACAGTGCGGGTCTGGGGGCAGGACGGCCGCTCCTCCCTCCTCCCTGCCGCCTGCAGGAGACGCGCCCCTCCCCCGCCCCCGAGAAAGCCCAGGTTTCTCAGCTGCAGAGGGAACAGGGGTGGGCTCGTCTCCCTCCAGCCCTGCAGTTCCGTTGTCCTGAGGTTCAGAGGACCCCACGGGCTCAGGAGGGGCGACCCCCACAGCTCAGAGACGCACTCCCCCCTCCCAGGCAGGCCGAGGGCTCCGGAGCATTGACCTTCCCTCCACAGGGCGATGAGGCAATTCCTATTCTGGGGACATTTTTCACAATAAATCCAAGGCAGGCTCTGAGAGATGGAAGTCCCCGGGCACAAGGTTATGGGCATCTTGACAGACTGGGGCAAAGTAAATCAGCAGAACGGATGACATTTTCCCAGATGGAAAGCAAGTGCAGGTCTGTCTCATCAGGAAGAGGAATGGAGCCTCCAGTGCACCAGGCTGCTCGCAGAGGGGAAGCTGCTGACGGGTGCCCTGGAGGGCAGAGGTGAAGGCCAATGGCCTAGGGTCCTTGAGGGGGCGGGAGCCGGGGAGGGTCCGCACACCCTGAGATCCTCCTTCATTTGCACCTCGTCTCACAGAGGCCGGGCCGGGGAGAACCCTCGGCCCAGAGCAGGTGTGAGCTCTGGGTGAGCATCACCTGGTGTGAGCAGGTGATGGTGATGGGGAGCTGGGCAGGTCAGGGGAGGGAGTGAGCCCCGGGGCGGGGGTCAGGGACCAACCCCGAGAGGCCTCCCCGAGTTCGTTCTGTGATGAGGAAGCGCTGATCACGCGCCTGTCTCCGCCAGGAGCTGTCACGTGCCTGGTCCCGTTGGCCCCCCGCGAGCTCCGGGGGGGCCCCCATCATCCCCACCTTGTCTGGGTGTGGAGAGGCCACGCAGGCACCCACGGCTGCGCACGAGAACCGTGTTGCCCGGACTCCACGTGGCAGTGGACTCCAGAGTCTCCACTGCCCCCCTGAGCTCCCTGAGGGCAGGACATGCGGCTCAGTCACCGAGTCCTCCCTGTCCAGGTGAGTGACCACAGGGAGCATCCAGAAACATCTGGGTGAATGAATGAGCCCATGTCATCCAGGGGGCACCTTCCTGACAAAGGCCTCCGTTCACGGAGAGCCCGCTGCTCCCTTCGCGCCCCAGCTGCCCTGTGAGGTGTGGGGACACTGGGCTCCCGGGGACTGTCAGCGTGTTCCAGGTCACACCACTGATGGACTGGGAATTGAGCCCACGTGGCTCCAACCTCTGTCCTCGTGGGAGGCGTCGCGGGGCGAGTCCACGTGAAGGAGCCTGTCCTCAGCCAGCGTCAGGGGCATATCGGCGGGAGGCAGGGACCCTGGGGGAAGGCGGCGGCATGGAGGCTGCTCTGTTGGGGGAGGAGGCGCACGGGGGCCGTTCCCGGTGCCCAGGCCACCCTCCCCTCTCTGCGTAGAGAACCTAGCCCGGCCTGGGCGCTCTCAGACCAGCAGGAAGTATGGCAGTGATGCCGTGCCCATCCAGGTCTGCGTCACGGGTCCATCACGTCCCCCTGGAGGGGACCCCGGGGAACGGCACCACGTCCGGAGGAAGGGCTGGCATCCACAGCGGGGCAGCCGCTGTCAGCACCTCACACACGGGGAAGCCATGCCATACCGGCTGCCCGGGCCTCCATGGGCAACAGGGCGTCCTGTGCGCCCTGCCGAATTCCCGACCCCCAGGGTTTGGGGCAGCCAGGGCTTGTGTGACGCGGGGCGGTGTGTGACGGACGGCTCTGCCCTCCAGCCTGGGGCTGTGGCCCTGACCAGGGTGGCTGGCAGGGCAGGGTCTGGAGGGCCGCAGGCACAGAGCCGGGGCCGTGGCCACGGCGAGCAGTGCAGAACCGCGGCGAAGTCCGCGCGGCCTGCTGTGCTTCCAGGGGTGAGCGCAGGTGAGCAGGCATCCAGGATCCTGGGAGGAGAATGGGACACACACATCCTGCTGACGCCAGAGTCACCACAGGGGAAGCAGAGAGCGGGGGCGCCCAGTGACTTAGTCAGCTAGGCATCCAACTTGGGCTCAGGTCATGATCTCTCAGTTCGTGGATTCAAGCCCTGCATCGGGCTCTGTGCCGACAGCTCAGAGCCTGGAGCCTGCTTTGGATTCTGTCTCCCTTTCTGTCCCTAACCCACTCATGCTCGGTCTCTTTCTCTCTCTCAAAAATAAATAAACACATTAAAAAAAAAAAAAAAAGAGGGAGTCGGGCTTCCAGGTGCCATTTACCACGGGGCAGCACGGCCCAGCGAGTTAGAGGCTGTGAGACATGCCATTCGTGGCCCCGGGCTCCCGGAGCACGGGGAGCTCCCACGTCGGGCCGTCCGCCTCTGTTCTGTGCGCCTGTGAGCCCTCCCACCCCGGCCCCTTCCTGCACGGGGCCGGCTTTCCGCACCTTCCCTTCCCACAGCCGCCCGGCTCCGAGCCCGGAAGGGGGCATCCGTGGACATCCCCCATCTCGTCTGTCTTCCGATGTCAGCTCAAGGCCATAAATGTTATTTAATCTGATGCTCTATTTCTTACATGAACCTTTCTCTGGCACATCTTGAAAAATCTAAAAAAAAAAGGAAATTCTCCCTGTTTTTGGTAACTCCATCTGCCACCTTCTTCCATATACAGCCCATTTCCCTCCTGGTCAGACCTGCTGCCCATGGACACCCACCCCCCCTTTCCTGCGTGTGGCCCCACACGTGCTCCGCGGTGGCTCCAGTTGACTGTGGTGAGGGGCGGGGGCCAAGGGACCGGTCAGGACCCCACGCTGGCAGTGGGGGCTGAGGAGCTGGGAGAGGGGAGAATAGGGCACTTTTTCCTGTCATGTTTCTTTCCCCAGACACGTTTCTGCAAAGAACATGGAGGGACGTGATCTGAGCACCTCGAATGTGACAGAAACTGTACTGGAGACTTTAAACATTTTGTCTAATTTTCTTACCTTGGCGACTCCATAAGGTGGGTGTCTTACAGACACGTCTAAAGACGCAGAGGCTGGGAGAGCCCGGGTCACGTGGTCAGCAAGGTGGGGGGTGAAACTCTGAGTCCAGGTCACCTGTGTCCAGAGCCCGTGCTCCTCACTAAGTGGAACTTGGTTCACGACTCCATTCTTACTTAGGTGGCTTCTGGAAAGCTTCCCCTCGGTGCAGACCGTCTTTGTTTTGGGAACTGAAGACTGACCTCCTGAGTGCAAATAGCGCCCAGCTCTGACTCGACGCTGGGAAAGGGGCCCCAGTGTGTATGGGCGTGCATGTGTGCTGGTGTGTTTTTGTGTTGGCATGTGCTCATCGGCGTGTGTTTGTGTACATATGTGCTGGTGTGTGTTTGCATGTGTGCGCACACGTGTGCTGGTGTGTATGTGCGTCAGCATGTGTACACACATGCAGGCACGTGCACACACGTGAGCACACACGTGTGCTGCTGCGAGCATGTGAGCCGCGGGCTCACAGAGAAGAGGGAACCCCTGGTGCAGGCAGTCACCCCTGAATGTCAGCACCGTGTCTGTGACGTGAGTGGCCTGCCTCTAAAAGGACCAATTGGCCATCTTTTGTTGTGTCCCCCAGTGACACCAAACAAATGGAGCCGCGTGGCCTGCCGGGGGCTGGGCCCTGACTCCTGAGGAGGGAGCAGGTTCGGTGCAAACCAGGCCGTTTCTTTCTTTCTCTGCGCCTGCCGACCCAGCTGCAGACCGGCCGCTCCTTCCCGGGGCCGCGCTCTGACTGGCCCTTGCCGCGCTCACGCGTCCCTTTGCAGAGGTCCCTGACAGTGAGCTGGCGCACTGAGCTGTCAGAGGGCCCTGCTGGGGCTCTGACTGTGATTCCTCCTCGAGGCCACCTGAGGGGTCGGTGACCTCCCTTTACCGGGAAGGGAGCGGAGGCGTGGGTCCAGCAGCCCCTGGACTGGGGAGAAGTGGGCTTCCCGCCACCCATTTTCCACATCACCCTCCTCCGGGCCCCCGTCCACTCCTGGGAAGGCCATTTGAGAGCGGCGTGAGTGTTCAGTGGTGTGTGTGTGCGTGTGTGAGAGAGAGTGAGCGCACTCACTTGCCCTGTGGGAAGAAGGACAGCAGAGTGGAAAACACCATGTGATTTTGTTTACTGTGGTTCACAAACTGCGGTGATGCCCCAGGCAGGAAGAATGTACGTGTAAATGATCCGTTTTGAAGAAGCCATTTGATTTCACAGCCGGAGATGGGCTGTCACAAAGGTGGCTGTGCCAGGTGCTGGACCGGGTGGCTGTGTCAGCGAGGTGCATCTGGAAATGGACCAGGGCTCTGCCAGCAGCGGCCGGAGGTGAGGAAAGGCCTGAGTGGAGGATCCGAGCCGCTCCACTCCCACCGCACACGGGGCGTCACCGAGAGGGGGCTGGGGCCGTTCTCTAGAGGCCACCGTGGGTGGAGGACAGTTTTAACTTACAACTGAAGGAGAAGCTCAAACCTGTTGCACTGATAAGTCACATTTGCTAAGAAATTCTAGATGAGGGTTTCCTGGAGTGTTGGGTTTCCTGTTTGGGGGCACTGGCTCACTACCATGCCCTAGAGGCCCTGGGCGGCGGTTTGAGGTCAGGCTCCAGGCCATCGGTATTTGACCGTGAATGCAGCCTTCTCACCCTGAGCCAGGTAATTAACCCTCAGTGTCCTCATCTGTAACCTGGGGGAATGGGAGCTCCAGCGTATGCTGGAGGTTTTGAGGTTTAAATGAAATGAATCGATTCATGTAAGGCCCTTAATACTTGACATGTAACACATGCGCAGTAAATACTCGCTCCTTCTTGCTGCTGTTACTCATGTATCAATCGTTGGGTTCCCTGGTCTGTCGTTGGGTCCGTCGGTCAGTCGTTGGGTCCCCTGGTCTGTCGTTGGGTCCCCCGGTCTGTTGTTGGGTTCATTAGTCTGTCGTTGGGTCTGTCGGTCTGTCGTTGGGTCCGTCGGTCTGTCATTGGATCCGTTGGTCTGTCGTTGGGTCCCCTGGTCTGTCGTTGGGTCTGCTGGTCTGTTGGGTCTCCCGGTCTGTTGTTGTTGGGTCCATCAGTCTGTCGTTGGGTCCCCTGGTCTGTCGTTGGGTCCGTCGGTCTGTCATTGGGTCCCTGGTCTGTCATTGGGTCCCCCAGTCTGTCGTTGGGTCCGCTGGTCTGTAGTTGGGTCTCCTGGTCTGTTGTTGTTGGGTCCATCAGTCTGTCATTGGGTCCCCTGGTCTGTCGTTGGGTCCGTCGGTCTGTCATTGGGTCCCCTGGTCTGCTTTTGGTACGGTGGTGCCACTTGTGCTGTTACTAGGTGGGGAAGATGTCCCACGTCTAAGTCCTCTGGCGCTGACCTCACCAGAGGAGATTCACGCTACAGAGATGAAGAGGGAAATGAAGGACTCTGCCGACGGCACTCTCATGGGCACGTCCGCTAGCAGGGACATGGACCTCGCCATTTCCCTCACTGCAGCCAATGGCATGCTTTCGGCTGTAACTTTTTTCTCTCCTCTCCCTAAGAGACGGATTTCACACAACAGCCAAAAAAGGAAAGACAGTCACCAGCGAAAGGGAGAGAGGCTGAAATCTGAAAATTGTGCAGAGCCAAGCGTGTGGTCAGGAGCTCCCAATGATCTGATGAAATGTGTGCGTTTTGTGACCTTACTTGTGGTTTGTTTTGTGTTTGCCGCTGTCCCATTGACCGTCCTCTGCTGGACAGACACACAGGTTTGCCGTGCTGATGCCGTAAGGGCTGCGCCAAGCAGGCAGTTGAAGGGACCCCGGCTGAAGATTTGCTTCTACAAACAGCTTTCTTGAGCTATGGCTTGTGTGCCAGAGAGCTCAGCTGTTCTGTGTGCACCATTTAGTGAGTCGCAGTGTGCTCACCGCCTGGTGCACCCAGCCCCGCAGTCTACTTTCGGGGCTGTGCTGTCACCCTGAAGAGCAGCGTCTCTCTGACCATCCTGACCCGGCCCCAGCAATTGTGATCTGTGTTTTGTCTTTATATATTTGCCTTTTATTTTGGGGACACTTAATATAAATGAAGCCACACAGGGGTCTTGTG